AACCAATATTTGCAATTAGAGCATATCATTAAACTATATTCTTGTAAAGTTTATTTCAACACTAGTACTTACTTCATAATATATTATTACTACTTTGATATTTAATTTAAATTTCATTAAGCTCTTAGTTCAGATAATCTAAAAAAAAAAGTACAACTATATCTCTGATTTACATATTCTTTTAGCATATAACTTTTTTCTCTATATCCTTTTTAGGATTTTGGCAGTCTAGCTAATTACAATGACTCCTTTTTAAAGACCAATTTGTCTTCATCTAGCTTTACAAGTTCTAGTTCTGTTTTATAGGTTTAGTCTTTATAATAATATTGTCAAAAGTTTGAGCTATCTTTCTACTCAGATCTTCTAATAGGCTTTTGTTTTTTTAGTTCTTGTAATCTACATGATCATGAAAACTTATCACTGATTCATACTATCTAATACCAGTTTGTGTTTCTTTATACAAGATACAACTATTGCACAAATGCTATATAACCTTTTAGTTATATTAATATAATACTTATTTTAACTAATAGTAGAAGACAGTTGACTATAATACAGAAAAAATTTTAAATTTTTGTCAATATTAAAATTTGAACTTTAGACCTGCCACTTGAAAATTAACAACCTGACTATTTCACTATGTTACTATGCTTTCTTCAAATAGTTTATTATATATTTTGGATAACTATAAAAGCAATTTTTACCAAATTTCAATTCTTAAAAAAATCATTATTATCTATTATTTATTTAGATAATTTTTAAATCAATTTATCAAAATAAGTTATTATTTAATAATAATAAAAAATAAAATTTAAAATTTTTTGAAATTTTAAAAGTTATTAAATTACACTATATTTAACATTCTAGTATCTTAAAATATTTATAATTAAGACATAAATGTATTTCTTTATATAGATAGAAAGATACATTAATAGAATTAAACTATATATATATAATTTTAATTATTAATGTTAGTAATAATTGTTATATTAATAATAATTATATAAGATAGTAATAATAAAAGTCTGAGATATCTAACTATTCTATATAAAACTGTTATATATATTATTTTTATTATATTATTGTTAGAATTTTTTTTATAATATTTATATAATATTTTAAATAAAAAAATGCATTTGTTACCTCTCTCTGTTATGTTAAATTTTGTTACAGATTATATAACAATTATATAATTGGTTGATTTATGTAGATCAATACATTACTATTTTGAGCCTAATTTTTGGGATCATGATTGTCTGAATCAAGACAACAATCTATACCTAATCCAAGGTCATGCAAAAAGTAATGGAAATGTTACTTTTGTTACTTTCTTTACTTCTGTTACTTTGTTACTTATATTATTTCTTTGATAAATAGAGTATCGACCTTTTATTAGATTTAGTTAATATATTGCATATAAGGAAGATATTGCATTTCTAAAAGAAATTAATTACAAATATAAATAAAATATTTATTATAAATAAAGAGCATTCCTGCTTAAGAAAAAAATCCTTTAATAATAATCTCTGAATTCCTAAAAACAATGATTCCTTCTCCTAAAACAAGTGATATCTCTAAATAAATATATTTGTATATATACTCAATCTATAGTAAAAGTAAAAATTCTACCCTATCAAACTAATAAACTATCATTAAACCTCTTGTTATCCATATTGTTCATCTATTTGTAACCTACTAAACTGCATTTTGATTATTCACTGTAAGTCATATGACCAAGTCACTAATGCAAGAGAAGAACTCAAGTCCAATTTAACATATTATAACTCAAATTAATTCATACAAGAGCAGAGAAGAATGCAAGAGTTAATAGAAGAATAGGTTGAAGGAAAGACTTAGAAGAGAAGAGTAGTACTTACCTACAGATAAACCATTAGCCAAATCTAACATGCTTTTTCAACTTAGCCACTATAGGTTATATGAAAGTTGGGTTAGTTTAGTGACAGACTTACTGATTTACCAAACAACTTTATTAACTAATCAATTATATTATATATATAGCTTTCATATTAATAAAGTTTGTAACAAATAAAAATTGCTTAAGACTGAATCGATAAATTTTATTTTAATAGATATTGGTAATGTTATATTTAAACTATCTTTTATAAGATTAGTATTATGGTTTTACTTTAATGATAAATCTATTATATAATTGATAGCAAATGCCATTTTATGTTTAAATAAAATATAAGTTTTATTTAGTTATATTTTTAAGAGAATTGAAGTTACAAAAGAGACAAATGGCTAAATGTATATGAAGATACAGCTAGTTATATTACAAGTTTATTACTATACCTCAAGTTATTCATTCAATAAAGTATTCAAGTTGTTCATATATAGAGACACAACTACTTCTTTATTATTGAGTTGTGAGTTGTTAACTACTTTTTACAAGATGATTTTTATCTATTTTAGAACACTATGATATTTTGCTATTATTTCTATTAACATTATTAAAGCTAATAGCATTAGTAGAGTTTTTGGCACTATTAGCGCTTTTAGTATTCTTGGCATTAGTATTATTTACTACATTATATTGAATTATAGGAGTTAACATCATAGCTTATCGATTCGGTCATTTAGTTGCCTTACAATTTATAAAAACAACTGTACAAATTAAATCTCTAAAAAATATTATAATTATTTTTAGATTTCAGTTTAATTGAAATAACATTATCTATTTATTTAATGAAAACATTTAAAACCTACAAAATTATTAAATCACTTTTAGTCAAGAAAAGTTTGCAATTTAAACATTTAAGATAGTAATATATATATACTTGAAGTAAATTGTTAACAAGTTTTTTGAGCAATCTATACGTGTTATGTTGAACAATTTGAAGATGAAAATATATAGTTGTTTCCCATGTGTATAAATTAATTGGTTTATCGAGTGGAGAAAGTATTGTTATAATGGAAAAGCATATGCGGTGTACTTGGTTCATGGTATCGAAGCATTTCCCTAGAATAATAGACAAGTAGAATAGTTAGAAAAAAATAAAAAAATAAAAAAATAAGAAAATACTTAACTTCGCTTTAAGTAAGGTGTGTTCAAACCGATCAGGTCATAACGTGTTCATGTGACGATTGATCGGAATTGGAAAATTATGCAACAAGTAAGATCAGGTACATAAGGATCAGTAGGACAGAATAATATACCTGAAGTATATGTAATCAATATAAGAGTCAAAGTAAGTTTATACAAGTAATAGTGACAATGCATAAAATATGTATAATCAAAAATGAGAGTTAAAGGTAGTATGTAAAATTGGTTATGTAGTTAATTGATGGATCATGTGATCAATTATGAGGTAATTAATTTGAGTCAAATAATTTATATAAGAAAATGAAATTAATAAAGTTGCAGTGAGACAGGTTTTAAGTAACAGGGATAAAAAAGATAAAGAGCAGATAAGTATAAATAAATAAATTGAATATTTGCCTTAATGATAGGGCCTTCTGATATGGCTTATGATTTCTAATAGGACTTTCTGATTTGTACTTTTAGCAAGATGAATTTACCAAAAGTATTCAGCATACCAAAATATTTTCAGTGCCATCTTTGTATGAACCCAAAAAATTACATAAAATTTATTGTTTAATATAGTTTATTATGTTGTACTGGAATTATTATGTACCCAATTTACTGTAAAAATTCTGCATTCTACATAAAATAGTATTATAAATTTTAGAATTCATCAATAACTTAAAACTGCATGTTCCGATTTATTCATTTTGCATATCTATAAAAATTCATAATAGTTTTTTTCTAAATATAATGTGATAAAAAAACATATATATACTTAAACAACTTTAGCATATATATTATCAACAGTCAAATACTTAATTCTTTTATCTTTATATTAAATACATTCCCACATACAACTTTCATAATGAATTAACACTTTTTTTTTCACATCATGCACTATTGTGACCAATTTTACCACAGGTGTAACAAGCATATGATTGGTGACTTGCTTTCTCTATAGCAGACTTATATCATTTAGTTTTAGGCCTTCTCTTATGTTTGGTGACTAGTGGATTAATGATTGTTGAATTCTTGTCTATATTACCATTGTAAAATTCATTAATCATCATATTATCCTATATGTTATTAGCTAGAAAATGCTTCTTTTAACTAATAAATGTTTTTAGCCATTGAGCCATTTCATCATCATCACATTCTACTGCAAGCTGCACTGCTTGTCAAGCAAGCCTCCATAATTCACCATATTTAGTCCATCATACTGCTGTACACCAATTACTTGTTGTTACTGCATGAGGTATTGAGAGTGGTTAGGGAATTGTTGATATGATTTTATCTTGCTGAACTCAGATAGCATTCTCATTTACAAAGATAACATTTAATTGTTTATTTTTTTCTTTTTTTGAATTATAATACCAATGTGAAGCTATCATTTTAATATGGAATCTGGCAACCTTCGAGACTAAAAGTACCTAAAAATAATGATAGCATATGATGCCACAAAAAACATTGCACATACATGTGCATAAGTAAGAAATGGAATCAATAATAATAATAAAATGATTTCTGTTATTATTTCCTAGTCACTTGTCTGTGATTTTTCAAATTTCTTTTATGTTCTCTTGGCCGACTTTCACAATCATTAACTCAATCAAAATTTGTCTTGAATTATACATATCTTCTAAAAAATGATTGCTAATACTTTTATTCTACAATAATTAATAATTTAATTTAGTAAACTATATGTTTCACATCCAATTTTAATTTACTCAAGCCTAGAAGTTGGAACTAGTCTTAATAATTTGGGTTTATTATATGAATTTTGTGATATTTTGGAATTTATTAAAATTTAATTAGTTAAGTTTCCAAAATATCACAAAATTTATGTAATAAACCCAAATTATTAACACCAGTTTCAACATCTAGACTTAAACATAAGATAAAAGAACTATCCAAAGTATTATTTTAAATTATATAATTATAGCACTTTAGATAGTTACCCTTATAGGATCCAAACCTCATCACATAAATTAGTTATTCCTAAATTTGTCAGCATTGCATCAAAATACAAACATTGCACCATTTCGATATGTTCAGCAGAAAGGATGTGAGGTGTCAAATATTCTGATATTACATGATCAATAGTAAAAAACATTTCATTTCCTACAGAGGCAATTCTGATGCAAAAAGACAATATTTAATATTCAAAAAAATGGTTCCATTCATTTTCTAAATAATAGTAATAATAAATAAATAAATAAAACCAAAATTAAAAAAAGAAATAACTGAAATTAAAAAAAAATAAAACGAATAAATAAAAATAGAAATAAAAAAATGAAATTAAAAAATAAATATATAAAAGAAATTAATGTTTTTTGATTTAATGTTAACATATAGGAACATATTAATTTTAATTAAACTTATCTTTTTCCAATCTTTCATTCAGAGCTTTGACCAAGTAACATAAACTGCTACTGCTACTTAATACCCACTTTATAATATTATTTTATCCCTCTACCTGAGATGTAGTTTGAATTCTAGCAGTGAAGACTTTAGATGTAAATGCGCATGCCCATGTGTGATGACTGGGATAGAGAACCCTATTCAAATAACTCTCTGTATTTGAAAACTTTTGCAATAAATTTTGCCATCTTGATTTAAATAACATGTCATCTAAAGTATTATGACAATGATAAAATTCACTGATAAACTGACTATATGCATTTCCTAGTATTGATTTAAGATTTTTTGGGAGATTTTGACTAATATGATAGAGACAATGCAATGACTTTGTAGTTTCATAAACTTGTTTAAGTGTGCTATTCATCGCTGGATCAGCATCAGTGACAACAACTAATGGTTCAACTTCTGTAACTTTTTTAGTACATTGGAGGATTCACTTATATGATTCAACAGACTCATCTGATATTAGTGCTTGGCTGCTATCCGAGACCTAGTATTAAGGATAGGATAAACAATACAATAATTCATGAATTTTTTAACTATTACATATTATTATTAATTATTTCTTATTACAAATAACTAAGATTCACATAATTCATATATACAACTTGAACAGCATAATTCTAAAGTTTAAATTTCACTGACCAAGATTGTCTTTATAAATATCAGTTATTTTTTACTCATAATTACTTATATACAAATCGGATATAATAATAAGTAATAATGAGTAATAAGTAATATATAGTATATATAAAAATTACCTAGTATAATTGTCTACAATAAGAAATAAACTAAGAGGCATTTGGTACCTATTCGTCTTAGCAGTATTATCATTAAGTATGACATCATGATATTCAAGCCAAAGTGACATTTGTTTGGAAGTTATCCAAAAAAGCCATATCAGATGATTGTTACTATCTAATTCAAATTCTACAACCCAGTCTGATTCTTCTGATTGCTTTTTGGTGAGAAATAAAAAAAGATGCAAAGCATCTGATTTAAGCTCTTGTGATTTGGATTTAAAGCATCAAATGGCATTCGCAAGGTCCATGTCTAGAAATATCATATCTGGGTATTTGGCTTTTAGTAACTGATATTGTACAGAAATAGAAAGATTTTTTTTTTTGATATAAAACTCAATGTCATTCAAAACATCTTTTCCAATTGATCAGAAATTGGCACTATACTTGCAGACCTCTAGATGAAGTTCATGATTGTGCTCATTAATGAATGTAGTAACTGTAATACAATTAGAATCCTTAGAAAAATTCAGATTTATGTGCCAGTTACATTCTTGGCACTTTGATTATCAGTTATAATGAGTATTAATGTCAATATTTTTTTTGGACTATATTTCCCTCCAAATTCACATTCTAAAGATTGATACTTTATAACTCCATCCTTGCGTTCAACTCTCTTTTTAATCACAGAGAACCCATTATATCGACCATAAGCTTCAAAATATAAATCAATATTATTCCAATTTTGGAATTTGTAACCAATGCACAAGAAAAAATTATATGATGCTTCCAAAGAAAAAAAAAAAAGCTATTATTACTGATATATAGAATTATTAAAACAAGGTAAAACAAGATACATAATAAGTTACCATCATTAATGATTTTGTAAGAGCTATTAACCTCATAATTAACTTTGTTACCATTATCTTCATTATCAATCACATATTCATAATTAATCATGTTTTCATTATCAATCATTATTTCATTATTAGTCTTGTTAGTATTCTCTTTATTGACTTCAATATTAGTTATATAATTCATGTTATTTATTTTGTTTTTTAAAACAATGGAAGTTGAGTGAAAAATAAAGAAAATATACACTTTCGAAATCTTAAAATATTAAGAAAAAAAAAACATGTTACTTGGTTAAATATATATTCACAAATATTGTCACAATGACCTCATTATTTAAGTAAGTTATTATTTAACTCAGCTTAGTAAGTACCATGTATAACTGACCAGCGGAGTTTAAAAAATATTATGGGGACTAATCAGGATCAGTGCCAGTTCTTTTAACATCAAGTGTGCATCACTTTTTCTTTGATTTTTTCACCTTGACTTTTTTTTATTTTTTTTTAACTTTCTAGCTTTATTTTACTTTTTTATGAGAGTTTCAATTATAAAATTGATACATTTTTCATGTTAAAACATGTTGTAATTAAACTTCAGTCCTATAAAATAGTGCCATTTTACTAGTATGTGTGAAAATGCCACTTGCATTATAAGTTTACATTGTTGATATTTTTAATTAGTATTTAATACTAAAGCAGATATATATATATGCAAGAAGTATTTGTGTCTATTATAGCAAGACATTCCAAACTATGTGTTAATTAGTATCATATAGTTTCAGCAATTAGAAAAAAAGTAGCTAGGGATGTCTCAAATAGTTTTGGTTACATCTTAGTTTATTATAAAAATGTATATTGTCATTTGGTATGTAACTAAATAAAACCTAGATTTTATTTAGACATAACATAGCATTTGCTATCAATTGTATAATAGATCTATTATTAAAGTAAAACTGTTATACTAAACTTATAAGAGATAGTTCAGGTGTAACATTACCAATATCTACTAAAATAAAATTTATCAATTCAGTTTTAAGCAATTTTTATTTGTTACAAACTTTATTAATATGAAAGATATATGTATAATATAGTTAATTAGTTAATAGTATTGTTTGGTAAATCGACAAGTTTGTCACTAAACTAATTCAACTCTCGCATAACCTACAGTGGCTAAGTCAAAATAGGCATATTAGATTTGGCTAATAGTTTATCCATAGGTAAGTACTACTCTTTTCTACTAAGTCTTTTCTTCAACCTATTCTTCTATTAACTCTTGTCTTCTCTTCTCTGCTCTTGTATGACTTAACCCGGGTTACAATATATTGAATCAGACTTGAGTTCTTCTCTTGCATTAGCAACTTGGTCACATGACTTACAGCGAATGATCAAAATGCGGTTTAGTGGGTTACAAATGGATGAATGATATGGATAATGAGGGGTTTAATGATAGTTTATTAGTTTGATGGTTAGAACTTTCGTTTTTACTATAAGTCAGATATGTATGCAAATGTATTTATTTGGAGATATCGCTTGTTTTAGGGAAGAGATTGTTGTTTTTAGAAATTCGGAGATTATTATTAAAGGATTTTTTTTCCTGAGCAGGAATGCCCTTTATTTATAATAAATGGTTTATTTATATTTGTAATTAATTTCTTTTAGAAATGCAATAACTTCCTTATATGCTATATATTAACTATATCTAATAAAAGGTTGATGCTCCATTTATCACAGAAATAACATAAGTAACAAAGTAATAGAAGTAAAGGAAGTAACAGAAGTAATATTTCTGTTACTTTTCATGTGACCTTGAATCAGGTATGGATCGTCATCTTGATTCGGGCACTTGTGATCCTAAAAATTGAGCTCACAATAGTAATGTATTGATCTACATAAATCAACCAATCATATAATTGTTATATAACCCATGACAAAATTTAATGTAACAGGGGGGTAACAAATGCATTTTTCCATTATTTTATATATTAAAATCTAAATCTGTTTATAAAATTTTTACATTAAAAAAAGGCTTAAAAAGGCTTATATCTAAACTAAAAGGCTTATTATATTATGGCTTATAATAAATAATAAGGTTATATTAAGCAATAAAATATTTAATAATAAAAAGTCTCAAATAAATAAATAAATAAAACTTGAGGCTTTTTTGTAAATAATTTTATTCTAAATAAACAATAACTTAAGTTTATTTATATATTATTATTATTTTATACATATCTTAAATATTACTTAATTTATATTATTATAATAATATATATATGTATATTTATCAATATTATTAAAAAAAAACTTGTTATCTGAATTTTAATTATATTTTGTATATAGTTAACTTTTTGTATAATATATAGAAAGTAATTGTATAGTAATATAATTAAAAATCTAATAACAGGTTTTTTAACAGCATTTATATATTATAAATTAATTTTTTTTTTTTTTTTTAAATATTAATAGTGAGACCATGACTCTACCTTTATTGAATATTCAATTGAGATTTTACATAAAGTACAAGTCTACTTTTAAAATATTATAGAAAGAATAGAAGCTC